AACGTGAATGTTGTTACACTTGATGGAATCGCTGAGTTGCTTTATTTACTTTTTGTTTTCTTTCTCTCACTTGCTCAGCTTGAGTGCCTTTCATTACTGTTCTCCAGGCTGCTGCTCTGTTCGTCTGCTCTTATTCCATCTAGTGTAGTTCTAATTTCATTTACTAAGTTCTTCCTCTCTCGTTTTTTTTTTTTTTTAATGTTTTCTATCTCTTTACTAAGGACCTCAGTGAGATCCTCCCCTCTTTTCTCAAGTCCATTGAGTACGTTTTATGACCATTATTCTAAATTCTCTATCAGGCAGATAACTTCCCTTTGCTTAGGTCTCTTGTGATCTTCTGCTTGTTCTTCCGTTTGGGGCAAACTCCTTTGTTTCCTCATTTTGTCTAAGTCTCTGTGTCTGTTTCTTTGTGTCGAGAGAATCAGCTATAGCTCCTGCTCTTGAAAGCAGTGGCCTTATGAAGGAAGGGGTCCTGTGGTCCCATGTCCCCTGTTCTCTGGGACCCGGTGCTTCAGGGGTGTCTCCTGTGTGTGTCGCGTGCACCCTACTCTTCTGGCTGAACCTCTTTTCAGTTCAGTCACCTGCAGTGGGCAGGGTTTGGTCCCTGTGCTGTTAATGGGCCGGTCTGAGCTGCCGTGGGCTTGAGCCAGCCCAGATGGCTGCTGGAGCCGTGGCAGCACGCAACTACAGGGCGCTTTCCCTGTGTTGTTCCGGATATTTTACTGTTGGGTGGGGCCTGCATTCAGAACAGAGGTCTGCCCCCCTTCACCCCCAACTAGGGCCACAGTCTGGTGTGCGTGTGTGTGTGTGTGGGGGGGTGTTATCTTTCCCTCTCCCTGGGGTAGCAGTCCCTGGAGTGACGATGACGCACGGTGGGACTGCTCGCACACAGTGAGGCTTGTGGCACCACTCTGCATGGGCTCCTGCGAGGTGTACTGCAGGGTGTGGCCAGGATGAGGAGGCGGTGTTGGCGAGGCTGGCCCCGGCCTCCTGGCCTCCTTCGGGAGGAGGGCTGCAGATCTGGCTGGAGAGGGCGGGTCGGCCAAAGTGCAGAGGGAGGTGAGGCGGGGTCTTAGCAAGCTAGGTAGTGAACTACCTGCGTGGTGGCTCCTGCAGGTGTCTGTGTTGATGCTCGGGGGCTGGGGACAGAAACGGCACCTGCCAGCTCCTTTGTGGCTGCACGAGTCTCCCAGTGACTCTGCCCCTCTTGCAGACACTCGGAGGTCCGTGACGAATTCTTCTTCTCCTGTTTGTCCCAGGTGATTTTCAAACTGCTGCCTCCACACCGTGTCTCTGTGGGCTGTTTGTTGTGCAGTCTCTGCAAGGCAGGGGGCTCAGGTCCTTCTGGTTTTCCAAGCAAAACTTTAAAGGGATTCGTCCTCCCCCGTGGGCTCCTTGGTGCGAAGGTCTGTTTCCCTCCCTCCCAGGGAGGTCTCTGGTCTGTGTGGCTCCCGGCAGGGTCTCCCCTTCCTTACCCTCTTTGATGGGGCTTCTTCCCTACATTGTGTGCAGTCTGTCCTGCCTCGGTCTCTGGCAGTCTTCCTGGGGGTGACGTGGGGCGGAGAAGGTTGTCAGAGGAAGGCAAACTAAGACTAATAATTTTTACAGAATAGGATCTATAGCAAAGGACAATTTTGCTGCACTGATTGAAGCGGAAATAATTTTGACTCCAGGCATAAACCCTGTGACTTCAGGCCTGGACAACAGTCACCCCCTGGGGTTTTGCGTCTGAGCCCCGGGAAAATGTCTCCAGGAACCTGAGTGCTTCTGGAGTCCTCCCAACTTCTGTTCCCAGAGGTGCGTTAGACACACAAATTCTCTTTGGGGAAAAGGCTTTTTTTTTTTTTTTCTTTGAGAGAAAGCATGAGCAGGGGAGGAGCAGAGAGAATCCTAAGGCGGCCCTGCACCATCAGCACAGAGCCCAACATGGGGCTCCAACTCATGAACCGTGAGATCATGGCCTCATGATCAAGCCAAAATTGAGTGTCAGTTGGATACTTAACCAACAGAGCCACCCAGGCGCCCCAGGGAGAAGGCTCTTCGTAGAGTGGGGGTGTAGCTACCCCTTAACCAGGAGCCCAGAGTATCTTGGCACTCTCTCTGGGAAGCCCACAGAGACAGGAATACAACGCGGCAACAATGGAGACTTAATGGACATTTATTTTTTGAAAGGGGGGAGGGGACTTTACAAGTAGAGTCTGAAGCCAATAACTAGAAAGGAAGATAAATAAAATACAAAGCCAGTATGTTGTGGCAAAATCCCAGAAAACACACTGAAAAAAATTTTTACAGTTTAAAACTGCTTTACTTTATACATAATTACAAATTAATATACAGCATCTGGGTTTTAACCCCTTTTCATTTCAAAGAATCTAGCACAGAAATGTTCGTGTAGCATCTGAAGACAGTAGAAGCAGAGGTATAAGGTGTAGGGGGGTTGCCCTCCTGCGTATCTGCGCATCTCCCCGCGCCCCCCGCAGGTAAGGACATGAAAACCACAGGCTAAACCATGACCACGGGCCAGCTGACCGGGCGGCTCCCCGGCAGGTGGCTGCACGAGGCAGGAGAGCGCAGGCCGGGGTGGCTGGGGGGGGGGGGGGGTAACGGCGCCCTCGGCTGGACAGCAGCCAGGAGCCCCCAGCACAGGCTGGGCGTGTGGAGCAGGTCGTCATGGTCTCAGGACTTTAGCCAGTTGGGTTTGCCCGGCTTTAAACCTTAGCGAGATGGAGAAATAATTCAAGGCCTGTCAATCTTTGGACAAATTAAATTAGAGAAGTGAAGGAAAGAAAAGGCTTTTTCTTTCCTTCCTATTTTTTTTTTCTTTTTATGGCAGCATTAAATTACTTCTCATTTTAAAACCTGGCCAGCAGGCGGTGGATTCCAAAGCTCCTAGTTGACTAGGAATGTTAGGCTTTGCTGGGAGAAATCGGAAGGTGCAAACCGCAACCCTCTTCTTTGTCTCTGTGGATCAGCGACGACAACGCGTGGGGCTGGGACCCGGCCCGTGTGGGTCCCGGCGCAAGGCAGGCAGGCCACACGCCTCCCTCAACCACTGCCACCACCTAAGCTGAGGGGCTGTTTCTGGGCCTCCACATCCCAAGGGCGTTCCAAGCACTGCCAAGCCACCCTGTCTGTGGCCACTGAAGCCCACCGACCAGAACAGTCCCTCCGGAGCCTGGCTGCACCAACACCAGCGTGGACTGCAGCTCCACGCAAATACCGAAATCCTCGGAAGAACTGGCTACGGAAATGCAACCTTAGAAAACAAGGGATGAAATACCAAGTACTTCTGTGAGTGGCAACTTCTGGATCAAGTCCTGGCTTCTAAGGTATGGTTCTTCACTTAAGGCGAAACCCATTTTATCCCCCGCCCCCCCCATAAAGGTACAACAAACCCCACAGGACTTAAAAATTTGTGCTACTGGTACTAGGGGCTCAGCAAGGTCATAAGGGAGAACCTTCGTGAAGGGATAACTTTTAGTGGTGCTACCCTGAGACGTCAGAGGGGGAAAAGGTAGGATTCGTACCTTTTAAAAAAAAAAACAAAAAAACCCAACTTGATAAGGATTTCTGCCCCACAGAGAGCTCTCGTGGGGGTAGAGAATGGAATGTTGGCAAAGGCTGAACGATGGCAAACTGTAGGCTTTAACCCCCTCCACGAACACAGCCGATTGTCTCAAAAATGAAGCCGACAGAGGACAGCAGTTAAAGTGCACGTCACCCACATGGGACGCCAACTTCTGAGATGATAGAAGTTTTGAGAAGGATGCAGCCTCCTTCCAGGGAATTCACTAGACTCTGGAAACCTGGGGGTTCTGGAAGGTTGTCTATCTGTCCCCCCAAAACTTAAACAACGTCAGGCATCTGATTTCTTGAGCCTGGTGTCCTACGAGGGGGACACGATGGAGAACCGGGTCTGAGCCCTCCCCACGCCCCCCGGACAGACAGCCCCTGCTCACAGGAAGAGGACTCACGACTCGGGCCCCAGAGCAGCCCTCCGGGTCACAAGCACAAGCAGCAGCAATGCGGGTAGTTCTGCAAGCACAGCGCCCCCAGAGCTGAACCTCACGCGGGAGAGACGGGAAAGGCACGTCGGAGCACAGGTCTTAGGACGCAGGTCTCTGCGCTGTGGACCACGTTGTGCAAGAGGGCGGGAGGGCTACTCTCCAATTCTGATCCCACACTTGTCCAACCACAACGCGACCGCGCTGAGTTCCTGGGTGTGGGGGCAGATGAAATCTCCGTTTGAAAACCCACCAGCCAAAACAACCAAACCAGCTTCAGCCTTGGAAGGCACCTTCAAATTGCCATCGCGCTGGGCAGCAACGGACAGAAGCCCAGTGTCCACGGCGCCTCTGAGGAGACCATGTGGGAGGGCCGGTCTCGCGAACGCGGAGCCTGGTCCACGGGGACACGGGGGGAACGCAGGCTCCCTCCGCCGGGGCCCTTCCCCCCAGCAGAGCGCTTCTGGGGGGCCGTCGAGCCCCAGAGGGGAAAGGGAGTTGGGGGCGAGAACAGACAGCCGGGCTCCATGGGGACCGGAAGAGAACCGTGGCGGGCAGGGCTGCAGCGCCGAGCTGTGCGGGCTGAGGGCAGGAAGGCCTCTACCTGCTCGCTGGTCAGGGTCTTGGGGGTGGGGGCGGGGGGTACATCATAGTTGAAAAGATCAGCTGGTTTGGGTCTGAGAGTCTGTTTCTGAAGGGGGAGCTCAGGACAGAAGGAGGCAAACGTCCCTCACAGGTGGCAAGTCTCTTGACTCTCAAGCCAGGAGAAGACAACCCTGGCTTCGGGGAGGGAGGGGTGGGAGGAAGGACAGGACCCGCTGCCCCGACGCGTCGTTTTCTTCTGGGCCCTCAGGGCACGTGCACAGACACTGGGGAGCCAGCCGCGCGGCTGCCTCTTCACCTTCTGCATGGACCGGGGAGTTGAAACCGTTGGGCTGGTATGTTTACCCTTACAACACACACACACACACACACACAAAATAAATAAATCTAAGCTACAAATTTTAAAGCAGACCTCTTTCAAATAAACTGAAAGATAAATATCTCCATCTGCAAGGCCAGCTTGCAATTCATCGACAAGCACCAAGTTACAGATTTGCTTTTCCAAAGACCGTGTTCTAAGACCCATGCTCCTGAGGGGCACCGAGCGGGAATTGAAGGGCGCACGGAAAGCACAGGCGTTTCTGGGCTCTCCCCGCCCCCCGCAGGGAAGCCCTGAACCCAGCAGGCCTACGGGGCCTCCAGGGAGGACTCCAGGAACTGTCCCGCTCCCACCGGCTGGCGACGAGCCTCAAGCGCACACGGAGCATCCGCAGTGGGGACAAGAAAGAGAAGACAGACCAGGCAGCATCTGGGGCACAAGAACCAATGGGCCTGTAGATTTGAAAACGTTTCTGAGCCACACCTGGGCCGCGCTCCCCTCGGTCTACACTGGTGGCACTTCCTGCACACGGGCTGAACTCCTTCACCTGAACCTCCTGGGCCGGCTGTCCTGGTAACGGGTGGGGACGACTGTGCTGCCGGAGCAGCGGCTTCCCTGGGGAGGCTGGGGGTCAGTGACAACCAGAAAGTGTCACAAAGCAGGCACGATGGGGAGGAGACGGCTCTACTTCACCTGTGCCCAGAGCAAGTAGGCAAACGTCTTAGGAAGCCAGGGTACAGTTTCTTTGGATTTGATGTTGAAATTAGATTTTTTTTTTTTAAATAGCTGAAATACCAAAATCAGAATTGTGCAGATCATACATGTATAGATGGCTTTTTAAACATACCACACCTTCTCTCACTGGTTTTCACAAATGTTTGCCCTCCTTTCCAAAATGAAATGAGAAATACATGCAAAGAGGGGTGAGGTGAGCACGGGGTAAGGCTATGGGAAAACCGCCTCCGAGGACCAGGGGGTGGAGCCCCACGTGCCCGCTCGCCACCTGAGCAGGGCCGGCGGCGCTTTTACGCCGAGCTGAGCCAGGCGACTGCCACGGACGGTGCCCACATCTGGTCGACCCTACGTGTACATGCGGATGGGTACCTCTATGCACACAGACAAAGTCCAAACTGCTCGTTTGACTGCTGTGTCCCCCAAGTAAAAGGCAGGGAGAATTTCAGACCTTACTTGGAAACCTCTTCCAGCCTTTAGGAGATCCTGACGTGCCCCAAACCAGCGCCCGGGCTTGAGGGGCCACTACTTCCGGTGCAACATCCTCGGTGGGCTGGCCCCAGCGCCCGAGCTGTCGGCAGCCACCAGCCCCACCAGTCCCCCGCCTCCTGCCCCACCCTGAAACCCAAGACCATCTGGTCCTGGTCCAGGACCTGGGCAGCACGGGCGTCCACGGTAAGAGCACACCCAGCAACGGCGGGGTGGGGAGGGGAGGGGCTGGCAGCCATGGGCTGGGTCAGCAGAAGATCTCTTCACCCTCCGCGGGCACTTCTGACGCGGGGCCATCTGGGAAGGGGACACAAGGTGAAACTTCAGAAAACTTGGCCTTTTCTTCTGCCCCAACCCAAGTTTCTAGGATGCAACAGATGATGGCCTGGTGAGCACCTGCCCCCCGCCCGTATATGTGGGGGTCTTATTCAAGGGGGCTCCTTGTGCAAGGTCCTCTCACACCCTTCACTGCCTGTTGCTCCTTTAACCGGACAAAGCATTAGACCTCCTGTGCACAAACAGACCTGGAGACAGAAACTTCTCTGATCCCCCACACAGGTGGGAGGGAGTGATCCTAATGAGCAGGAACTGAGGCGGCTTCAGGGGAAAGGGATGTGCAAACCGGGAGCCTCGTTTAGAGGGATTTAATGCCAAGCCCCGAGCCAGCAGGGACGCCAGTGGTCTCTCTGGGCTTCCTACCCCTAGCTTCTCTCGGGCTGGCATCACCTCCTTCCCACACCCGCCACGTGGGGCAATGACTCAGACCTCGGGAAAGGCTCACCGAGTACTAGTTATTGCATCGATGATGAGACTAGACCTAGAAAAGCAGGGAAGACTTTCATCTTCACATAGGTGAGTTTCCGTCCCTCAGCTGGGGAAGAGATGCCCCCAAATGACACCCACACTCTCTGGCACACACGTGCACACAGTGAGTTCCTTGACGCCTGAGAGCTCGAGCTCCGGCATCCTGTGCAGGCAGAGCAAGGGGTCTTGGGGAGGGGGCAGCTCAGCCTTTACACCCCAATGGCAAGCTCTGAACCTTTCCGTGCCACCAGCATCTGCCCGCCCTGCAGCGCCCAGGGACACCGGGGGCGCAGGGAGGCCTGGTGCGTGTGACTCACCACCGGACTGGGAGCGACTTCCTTTGTTCTTCTTCTTCTTCTCCTTCTTCTCCTTCGGCTTAGCTAACCCAAACAGGCGGGTGGAGGCGGGCGCGGGGGCCTGGCTCTGACCCTCTCCTACTTTGTTTGTCTGGCTGGTGGAACTCAGTATGTGAAAAGGCCCCTTATCTTTGTGTGTCCGTGAGATGCTGTTCCTTTTTGGGGACACGGAGAGTTCTGAGTCCAGTGACCCTGATTTGGCTATCGAAGGTACCGATGGCATGGGGGACTCCTCGGGGTTCGGAAAGAAGGATGGGATCCTCAGCAGCTTCGTGTGTTGATGGGACACCTGCACGTGTTCAAGATGAGAGGCGTTAACCCAGGGTCTGCGGCACCCCCAGCACCCCCTAGATGCTGGCGGAGGTCAACTGCGGGGGTCAGGCTGGTGTGTACCCACTTCCTCGGACTCTAGCCCTCACTGTAAAAGGATTCAGGGCTTCTTTCCCATCACTCCGCACCCCCCCCCCCCCCACAGAGTACCCGAGAAAGTGTAAAAATACCATCTTTGATACTGTTAATACTTTTAGTGCATGGACTTCACGTCCGCACCACAGGAACTCACGGTGCCTTCGGCAAGGCAGCTCAGAAAGGGGCTCCCATTCCCTAAAGAAACGGGAGAGCCGCTTCTCTGAAGACTGACTGACACAGAGCTGTGGAGAATTACTTCCGGGCTGAGGGGGCCTGGAGGGTGCCAGGTGGGTGGGAGTCAGAGGTTAAACCAAGACGGAGAAGATGGTCTGGTCCGTGCCTGGAGCCCTGATTTACTGGGATGCGGGGGGAATCCATCCGCGTGCCCTGAAAGGCGGGGTGGAGCCACGGGCTGCTCCCACCATACATCTGGGTGCCTCTGTGGGCGCGAAAATGCCCTCTGGAAGGTGCCACCCACATCTCCTGAGTTGGTCCCAGGCCTGTCCGTCAACACGTGGCAACAGGAGTGTGGACAGACAGGGGCGTCCTGTTCCAGAACAGCCACGGACCGGGCCTGACACCCACTCGGGTCCGAGTGCTTAACCCTAGGGGCTGCCCGGCCGACCAGGTCTCTCCGCAGGAGGGGCCACCCCCCTGCACCCGCCAGGCGGGTGTCCACGCCCCCCTGGCTCTTCCCGGCGCCGCAGCGCCCCCACCTGGCAGGCGTCGTGCTCCGCCTGCCTCTGGCCGAGTCGCTCGGCGTCGCGGCGCAGCTGCTCCTGCTCCCGCTCCAGCTGCTTCTGCGCGGCGCGCAGCCTCTCCAGGTCGCCCTGGTAGGCGCCCTTCTTGAGCTGCAGCTCGTCGCGGTCGCGCTCGAGGTCCTGGCGGCCCTGGCGCACGTCGTGCTCGCGCTGCGCCAGCCGCGCCTCGCGCTCCTGCAGCGCCCGCTCGCGGGCCTCCCACTCGCGCTCGCGCCGCCGCTTCTCGTCCAGGTGCTGCGCCTGCTGCCGCTGCAGGTCGGCCAGGTCCTGGCGCCGCTTCTCCAGGCTGCGCTGCTTCTCCTGCTCGGCCAGCGAGCTGGGCCGCGCCGCGCCGCGGGGGAGCGCGCGCTCGGCCAGCAGCAGCTTCTGGTCCTCGATGTAGCTGTCCTGCTGCAGCACCACGCCCTGCGGGGCACGCAGCGGGCACGTGGGGGCCGGCCGCAGCCCCACCCCGCCCCGCCCCGCCTCCCCCCAGCCGGCCGGGCCACGGCGCTCCGGCACCACGCGGGTGCGGAGCCCCAGCCTCTGGAGCGGGGGGCCCTGTCCGCACAGCTGGGGTGGGCGCGTATTTTGGAGGTGGGAGGAAGTAGGAACTGGGTCTGTTAGAGCTTCAAGAATGGGAGTGAGCAGAATTTAAGGATGATCCCCAGAAAGTGCTAACTGGTCCTTACTTGGTGAGGGGCGCCCTGGCCACACACGACCCGGGGGTAGGAACACGGAAATAAACTTATCATACTAAAGCTTTTCTGGACAGAAAACCCCCAAACCGTGTTAGTGCCCTCGTACTTTGCGGTAAGGCTGCTAACAGCACCGCCAGTCTACCCTCGTCAGTTCTCAGAGCGGGAGGAGGCTCGGACCGCTGACTGCTGTAAGCTTTCTCATCACCGCAGCCACTCCTGTCTTGACAGAGGGTCCCCTTTGCCCACGAGCAACCTACGAACCTCCAACACCCTTACGCTGTGTCTGGAAACACGTGAAGGGAAAAGAGAAAGGCCATACCTGCAACGTGCTGAGGAGTTCGTGGAGGTGAACGACGCTCTGGACGACCTGCTGCAAAAGGAAGCAATGGACACATCATCTCGGGACTGAGTCTCAGAACCCAGTGCACCAGGTGATGCCTGGCAGCGTAACCCCCTCAACAGGGCAAGGTGCTTGCGTCTGGATGGAATGTTCCCAGACGGAAAGCACTGGAAAGAATAAGCAGCTACAAGTGGCCAAGACATACGGAACAAGAATAAGCAAACAACTACGTTCAGGAAGAACACTGGCGCACATTACATGCAGATAAAGCACCAACTATCTAAATTGGCACAAAAATGACATGCATACAGTGTCACAGAACAGAAAACCCATAGCAAATAATAAGAACTTAGCATATAAGTAGCGTTTCTAAATCAATGGAGAAGAAAAGAATATTCAGCAAATTATTCTGAGAAAACTGGCTAATAAATCTTGGGGAAAAATTAAGTCGGGATCCTGGCTCACAGAAAAAACACTCAGATGAAGATGTTAAGTGTAGAAAAAGAACCATAAGAGAGTTGTAAGAAAATAGAAGAATGTCTTCTGACCGTGAGACTTTTTGAAGGCTTTTTGAAGAAGCAATGCAAGAAACCAAAGACGCACTTTTAACAGTCACCGTGTGAAACAGAAAACGAAAAGGTAGAAACATACTGAACAGAAAGCCAAACAAAAAAATCCTTGAATTGAGAAGGGTTCTTGGGCACCTGCGTGGCTCAGTTAAGCATCCAACTCTTGGTTTCGGCTCAGGGCATGATCTCACGGTTCGTGGGTTCAAGCCCTGAGTCCAGGCTCTATGCTGACAGCGTCGAGCCTGCTTGGGATTCTCTCTCTCTCTCTCTCTCTCTCTCTCTGCCCCTCCCTTCCTCATATACACCCAGCCTCTCTCTCAAAATATATCAAAATAAAATGGCTCTCATGCATCAGTGAGAAATGAATACCCTCATAAGAAGACATAAACCAGCAATTTACAAAAGAAATACAAACGGCCAATCACATAACCAGTTAAAAATGGTTCACCTGTATTTGAAATCAAATAGATGAAAAATAGAGAAATCACCCTTGAACTTATGAAACCAACAAAACATCAGTTAACGACTGACCCCTCCCAGTGCGGGTGAGACCAAGGCCAGCCTCGTGTGGAGGAGGGAGCACGGGGCGGCGTGTGGAGGGAACAGTCACTGCGCGCACAGGGCTGTTCTGTGCAGGGCTATTCCTGCTGCACTGTTCGCAAAGCAGAAAAGAAGAGGAAGAGCTGACTAAACTATGGTACGCAACACAGCAGCATGCAGCTGTTAAAGAGCGTATTTGTACAAATATGCTCTGGGGAAACACTTCTAAAGTGTGTTAAGAGGGAAAAAAAGGGTATGAAGCTCTGGGGGGGGGGAACTGATATCAATTATATACAACTATTTTTATACTATTCACACCCACACAAAAATATGCATTATGTAGAAAAAAAGACTACAAATGGAAACATCAACCATTTAACAGTACTACTACTCTCAGTGGTGGGATTCTTTTATTTTTTCCCTTTTTTCCATTACTGGACATTTTTCAAACTTTCTACTATGACCACATATTCCTTTTATAATACAGTTGACCCTTGGGGTGCCTGGGTGGCTTAGTCAGCTGAGTGTCTGACTTCAGCTCAGGTCATGATCTCACAGTTCACGAGTTTGAGCCCCGTGTTGGGCTCTGAGCCTGGAGCCTCCTTCGGATTCTGTGTCTTCCTCTCTCTTTGCCCCTCCTTCACTTGCACTGTCTCTGTCTCTCTCTCTCAAAAATAAACAAACGTTAAAAATGTTTTTATGATACAGCTGAACAGTGCAGGGGGCGGGGTGCTGCTTCCCTCAAACAGTAGAAAATCCATGCATATGTAACTTTTGACGCTCCAAAAACTTAACTACTAACAGTCTACTGTTGACCCAGTCTTACCTATAACATGAACAGTTGATTAACCCATATTTTATATGTTACATATTACATATATACTGTATTCTTACAATAAAGTAAGCTAGAGAAAAGAGCATTACTACAAACATCATAAGGAAAACACATTTACAGTAAGACACTGCATTTATCGAAAACAAACACTGCATGTTAAGTGGACCCATGCAGTTCAAAGCCACGTTGTTCGAGGATCAACTGTACTAAGAACAAAATACAAAACAATGATCAGGCTTAGCTCTCCTAAAAACACTTTTTACCCCTGTTTTCAGTTTATTTTATTTTTTCTAATACTTACTTTGAGAAGATAGAGGGAGAGTGTGTGTGCACATGGGAAGGGCAGAAAGAATCCCAAGCAGACTCTGCACTGTCAATAGAGAGCCCGACGTGGGGCACCATCCCACAAAGTGTGAGAGCACAACCTGAGCTGAAATCAAGAGTCAAATGCTCAACCGACTGAGCCACCCAGGCGCCCCTCAGTTTATTCTTAATAAACAGAGAGAGGTTCCCCAACAACAGCGGACTCCGGCTGGGTGTCCACAGGGTATAATCCATAGTGGAATGCCTTTTCTTCCCTGACCTTTGTCATGAAACACAGGGAGGAAGTCATCGAATGAAAAAGAAAGAGCTAAGTTTTGCTCAAGCAGCAGGTGGCAGAGCAAGAGTCTGCGTGCGAGTAAGTTTCTGTCATGCAGGGAGAACGCGCTGAGGGGGTTCCTTCAGACACCCCAGTGCTTAGACTCCATGCCAACAAGCAGAAAACATCCTTCTGGGTTTTAGGGGAAGAAAGGGGAAAGGCTCCTTTAATTTCACAGTTTAGAAAAAGCTCCTCAGGGACTAAAGATACTATGTTAGAAACCCAAAGAGCCTCGTAAGAACCCCACAAAGCCGCTGTCACAGACACTCCGGTCTGCTTCCACACACGGCGCACACTCAGAGCCACGCACGGGCGGCTGGCCCGGAACAGGAGCTGCTGAGGAGCAACGAGAAGGGACAGGAGTGGAACAGGTGCGATTCTGCGCTGGGCCAGCAGAGCTCAGCTGAGGAAGGTGAGGAAGACTCAGGTCAGAGTCTGCCTTCCAACGAGAGCAAAGCCATGGCTGCTTTCAGAGGGACATGCGGCCAGTGACAGGCACACCTCAAAGAAGGAAAGTCAACTCGAGGCCCCGCAGGACAGGAAACCAGTGCCCAGAATCACCCACGAGGTGACCTGCCATGTTCCACACTTGTGGCCTTTGGCGCCAGGCCCGTGTGACAGGAAACAAGGTCTCAGCCTGTGTTCACAGAAAGCGAGAGGCTGGCTTCTCAAGGACAGAATGCTGGGAGGCAACGGTTTGACGAAACTCGAGGATGGGGCCCTGGGGCCCAGGGATGCAAAGGAGAGGAAGGTAGCAGCCGGCCGTGCTGGGAAGTGCACAGATTGTAGCCTGGGGTCAGCTTGTTCACGACAGCAAGACAGGAACGAGCATTCCTAGCCTAGCAATTATAACAAAGCCCTATTCTTAGACGGAGCCCACAATGCCCTTACCTCACTGTTTCGTTTAAGCATAAATACCAGGTTAGCATTTCCACCCTATAAAACAAAAACACATTAATGAAAAAAAAAAAAAATCCTGAGGCAAAACTAACATTCAATGTGTGTCCCAATTCTGCTCTGGCTTCCCATTTTCGTTCTTTCCCACCACAGCGTCTCACTGCAGGGCAATGAAGATTTGGAGAAGAACTTAACTGAGGCCCTGTAAAGAGCTCAGGCTTGGCGTGGGACATTTACACAAGCTTCTGAGCACCAGGCTAGGGCTGCGGGAGCCAGGAGCATAAATACGGTCCCGAGCCAGAGAGGCCAGATGGCCAGTAGCACGGGACTCTGAACTGTACGGTTTGTGGAAACACGGGCTTTCCTCTTGAAGTAGGAAACGACAGCAAGTCAAGCATCCAGAACCAGATCATAGCGGACTAGCTGCCAAGATTACGAATGCAGGGCAGGTGCTACGGAGGTCTTAGATGGTGGATTTCAGAAAAATACCTTTTTCAGACCACTGTCCGACTCTGTTCTTCTAAGATCTTGGCCATCCTCTCCCTCTTCCTTCTCTCCTCCTGAAACAAACAAGTTTTTGTTTTTATTTTTCATTAAAAATTTTTTTTATGTTTTATTTTTGAGAGAGAGAGAGAGATAGAGAGAGAGAGAGAGAGACAGCACAAGCGGGGAAGGGTCAGAGAGAGAGAGGGAGACACAGAATCTGAAGAGAGGGTTCAGGCTCTGAGCTGTCAGTACAGAGCCCAATGCGGGGCTCGAACCCATGAACCGTGAGATCATGACCCGAGCCGAAGTCGGACGCTTAACCGACTGAGCCACCCAGGAGCCCCTTGTTTTAGTTTTTAAAGCTGTGAAACAGATCACGCAAGAAAAGAATAGAATATATGTATCTTAGGGATATAGTATTTCGGCACCTTATTAATGCCAAATGGTGGCAGCTAAGTGACTATTAATAATTTTACTGAGGCACAATTAGAAACAGGAAGGAAAAACAAGTATTATTAGTCCTTTGGCCACAGCTTAGCTGAGATCCCAGGAAATTATTTTTTTATTACCCGAAGTAAGCGTGACACTGAAAGAAATTGTTAGTGTTTGAGCAGCTAGCTGCTCAAGAGGATTTCACTAGAGCATCTATTGGTTGAATGGGACTGAGGAGCTGAAGCTACCAGAGTACATATTATGTGATGGTCAAGGATCGCCTACACCAGTACAGGTTCTAAATCACTGACCTTGTTTTTTTGTTTTTGTTTTTGTTTTTGTTTTTTAAAGTACGCTCTAGGCCCAGTGTAGGGCTTGAACTCATGATCCCAAAAGAGTCCCATGCTCTCTGACTGGGCGAGCCAAGGGGCCCTGACTCATTTACCTTTAGAAGCATTCATCTGATGGCTGTCAAATCCTCCAAAGGTCTCTGCTCTCCGCGGCAAGGAAACAGGGCCGACCGGACCTTCTGGCTCAGCAGGACTGCTGACAGCCTGCCCGAGTGTGCCTCCCAGGCTGCCGCTCACCAAACCCTGAAGGATCTCCACTGGAAAAAAGGAAACATGCAAAAGCGACATTTCATCTTCCAGTGAAAAAAAGAAAATCTCAAGGTAACACACAAGATGTCCAGGGAGAGCATGGTCAGAAAATTCCAGAGAGGGACTAGGTGACTCCCTTTGCCCAGAGAAAGGTCTCAGCTCAGAACATGTGCTTCAGCTGGACTCTACTGGGAATTCTACTGGGAATAAGACCTTTAGCCTTATTTATAGGAGGCCTAAGAAATTTGAAAGGGCACAGGGAAGACAGAGTAATTTACTGGAAGGAGCGTGGCCTTCTGGAGTCAGAGCCAAATTAGCCAAAAAGAATTCCTTGGGGGAGTAAGATGGGCCAATTTGAGAGCAGCAGCTAAAACAGGCAGGGTTTTGCCTGCTGCCACAGTGAGTTCAAGGGACCAGAGCAGAGACATATCCAGGTTCTCAAATCTGTGACCAGCGAGGCCTCTTTTCTAAAGCAGCGTCCCACAGAAAGGACAAAGCACTTCTAGTGGGATGTTTGAGCAGGAGGGGAGCAACAGAGGAGGAGGAAGGGCCAGACGGAAAGGAGGAAGGAAACAGAGACAGGGAATCTCCTAAGATGTCCTATTTTTTAAAAACGCCACACGGAAACAGTCAAAGGGTCCCATGAAGTGAGAACAGGCATCTGAACGGAGAAACTTGAACTTAACTTCACGTAAAAACGAGCAACCGGGAAACATCAAAGTCAAAGCTCACACAAAGCTAACGATAGCAAGCGAGAGAAGGAACGCGTGGGCCTCACTTCCCTGCACGTGGTAACAGCACATCAGAAACCCATGTTCATAAAGCGGACGAGCTACTTACAGTGACGAGAGGACACGGGCAGGGAGGAGCCCAGGCAGGAATCCGGAAACACAGACTCAGACAAGTGGGAACAAAGAGAAACAATCATTTTAGGGACGAGAACTACAAGACGGGAGCCAACAGACCCAACGGAAAAGAACTTACCCGAAGGGGCAGGAAGAACACTGGAGCTTTAAAGATGGGAGGGAGAGAGCGCGAAGAGAAAGGGACAACTACCGAGGACAGGTGGTGACGGCCCAGCAGGCGGGGCGCCGCGCGTTCTTGAAGGAGGAAATCCAAGCCCGGGCACGGGAAAGATACTACCGACTATACTTTAAGAATACTCTTTGGAAATCTGCAAACTCGGAAGCCACGCCAAATCAGAACACTGAGCACTGGGGGCCGCCAGCTCAGAACAACCTGCACACTAAGGCCTCTGCTAGTAACACTGCCTGGGTTTCAAAAAGGTAGTTCTTTGGGCGCTTGGCCGAAGGCACGTGACTTACACGGGAAAAACTGAATCCTGATCCCACACTGACGGCAATGCTCTAAGTCAGAAGAAAAGGAGTAACGTTATTTACGGACAATTAAGATACCCAAGGGGAGAAAACATGACTCGAGGATTTTCTATCCGGCGGAGTGGATTTTCAAGCAATCAGTGGCACAGATTATTAACAGTGTGGAAGGACACGGGGTACAGTTCTCGCGAGTCTTTCTGGAGAAAACCTACTGAAGGATGAGCTTCAGGCATCCAGGATGACAAACCACGTGACAAGAGCCTCAGCAGCGATGACCACCCCTACGGCCCAGACTGGTCTTAAGCTATTCATTTCTTACTTCCAGAAACACAAGCTTCTTAGAGACAAGACTCTAGTCTTCGGCAGACAACAGGAAGAGCCTAGAATATCTTCAGATGCGAAACAGCCAGGCAGCTCTTGGGAGCTACTGGGGTCGTGGCAAAAGGACTCCGAATCCAAACCAGAAGGTGCTGGTTGGCAAAGGGAGGACAACTTTGAACTTGTCATAAGGAGAAGGGTTACAATGACTTGAACTCCATCACACAGGTTTCTATTCAAGAGTCTACAACAAGAGCTAAAAAGTTCTGGTCATCTTCAGAGGGTGACCACAGATCAACTCACTATCCTGAAAATCAGTAGATAAAGGGGAAAAAAAACCCAAGCGTTCTTCCTTTTGCCTTCCTTTCCCTCTACGTTACAGAGAAGGGGACAGCGGGCGGTTCTGTGCTCCGATACAGCACAGCTCTGAGTGCGCGGCTCACCGCAGGGACCACGGCCGAGGAGCTCGGCCTCTGATGCAGCTGCGGGTGTGAAGCAACTAGGACGGAGGAGCGGACGCCCTGCCTGAATGACAGCCAGACTTGGGGAGGGACGACAGGTCCAAGAGCTCAGGTCCTTCAAAGGGAAACTGGGTGGGAAAGAAGGGGATGGCGGGAGGGCTGGGAACGAGGACTCTGAACAAGCCTCATGAAAACCACAAGCAAGACTGCAGTGTCTACGAACGTGCCCGTGGCCAGAACACCATGGGCCGCGGGCCTGGGTACTGGTCACAAGGATGCTCCTCTGATAATAACTTACTAAACAAAATTATTTGTTTGGGGTTGTTTTCTGTATTCGTGCTTTATTTTACAATAAAATAGTAAAAACTGGTAGATAATGTCAGTGAATAAACCACTTTGGGAAGAGATCAGGAGGGGTGATTACCCTCATTTATTGCACTTTTCATTAAAGGTCCTCCTTTGAGCGCCTCTTCGGTGCTGGAGCGGAAGAGCACTCTAGAGCTGTGAGCTGGGGAGCACTCCTCGGGCAAGGGAGTGCTGCACTCTGTCATGTCCCGGAAGATCATCTCCTTCTCTTCCAGTAACAGGAGGATCTGCTGGTCCTTCTGCTGAAGCTGTTCTGCAGGGGACAATGGAGGAAAGGTCTGGTCACTTGACTGGGTGTTTAGTGAGAGACGACCAGGACACGGGCGCCACCTCGTGGTCATCGCAGGGACAACAGGGAACACAACACAGCTCCACCCCCAAACCCCCTTTCCATCATGAAGGCAATTTGTATGCAGAGTCTTTCTAGACAAGATCAGAATTTCTGACCTAATGAGCATGCACTTTGTTGGAAACACCCCTAGCGCCTGTGTGTTTCTCAACCCACTCCTGTCTGCACCTGCTCTTCCCAAGGCTACCATGGCTGGTCCAACGAGGCCTGGATTCCATCTTCCCCCCTTGGAAGGGTCTCCCTCCCTCACTCTGATGACACACTGGTGCTCCTGCCCCTGCAGTGGAAGGCCCACCCCTCTGGGCTCCATCCTCTACCTCACACACCTCCTTCTGGGATCTTCACACCCACGGCTCCAATGACTTCCCGCGTGCTGGTAACTCACGCAAAGCACCCCAAATCCTGCCCACTGCTGAGCACCAGACCACCGAGTCCCACGAGCCTGTGGCTATCCCGATGAGGTGCCCAGTCCTTGTCAGAAAGCTCTTTTCTCCCTTCTCCTCCCTCCGGCCTGTGATCTCCATCCTCCAGCTCGGCTGTCAGAGACCTGGGAGGGCTTTCGTCTCCTGCTGTACCCCGCTGTTGACATCCACCCTTCTCCCTGGGAGTCTCCCCGACAGGCTTTCCACTCCCAGGGGCTCCCCGACTCCCTCCAGCAGCTCCCCCACTGGCTTCAGTGCCAAGGAAGACAATTCAGGCTGACAATTGCTACACAGATGCTATCATTTCCTTGTTGCCGGTCAAACCCTGGCACCTGTCCAGCCTCACCCCCTCCTCTTGGCCCTGACCCCCGAGACACACCAAGCTGCCCGCTCCTCGCCAACGTGCAGGCCCTCTTCACTCTTCACCTAGCAGTGCATGTCGTCTGGTGCAGGAACTGCTTTCAGAGTCAGCTGCCTGGGATCCCCCAGAGGGAGGATGAGGGCCCGCATCCTCTGGACGGGCCTGCGGTCTAGTCCATCATTTATGCCTGTCTTCCTCACTAGCGTGGCCTTCCTGATGGCGGGGATGCTGCCCCAGGAATCTTTGCACCCCCCACCCCACAGCTCCTAATAGTATGCCTGGCCGGGTGCTTCAGACACGTCCGGAGAAGGCGGTTTTCGTCTCCACCATATGAAACACGGGCCGATAAATCAGGTGCAACCGTGGCTTCAGCCTAAACCTGCCACACCCGCTCCCCGAAACACAACGTTAAGGCCTTCTCCAGCCACAGGACTAACTGGACTCTGCAGGTGCTGACATTTACCTGACTCTGGGCCTTATTTCTACCCAAAGCACAGCATTTGGTAAGCGCTGGCAGAGAGAGGGGAGCCCCCACTGTTGACAGGCAGGGGAGCAGAATCCTCAGCCAGGAACCACGTGTGGGACCCGGGACTGCTTGGCCTTCAAGGGCCTCAGCTTTCTCATCTGCATAGTGGGGATGAGCATGCAGGGAAGTGGCCAAGACTACATGAGACACCAGGAAGCAGAGATCGAACGTCATCGGTGGGCACACTTCTCCCTAAACAGCCTCAGAACTCACTGTGAACACACAGCACGGTCGCAGGGGTAACTGATAAAAACAGTAACTGGAAAATTCTTTTCCTCTAGTACCTCTCTCTCTGTTTTAATCTTAGACATGACCGTGAGTTTCGGCAAACTCCTCTGCAACAAAGTACTAAAAAGGTCACTGGTCCAAGAACATGGACAGTGAGACGAGGATGTCCCCTTGACCTGGTGTCAGACTCCTTCGTTGCTCCTTCGTCAAAAGCCACTGATGTCCCTGTTCTGAGGCACGCGCCGGGACCGCAGCCCTGGAAGCCGCTCGCAGCTTCCACCCCTGCACACGCTGCGCGCACCAGGCCCAGATGCACCCACTAGCCTCACCTTTTAATTCCCGGGCTCTGCCGTCCAGCATTCTCTTTTCTTCCTCGTTCTCACTAGGAATTCCCTCGTCTTCATCCCTGTTCCTGACACCAACACAGCACAAAACAGATCAAGAAACCCTCCCGAGGTCAGTGACCCTGGCCGCCGCCCCGGGTGGGATGAAGTCATGGGGGCTGGGACGTGCTGGGGCGTTTTCACTTACAGGGTGTTGATCGTGTCCTGAATGATGTGAATCCAGCTGTTCCGCTCCTCCTTGGAGCCGGCGTGGACTTCCACCATCTCGGGGTCCTTCATGCCCATGCTGATGAGGAACAGGCCTTTCTCTTCGTGCGCCACCTCTCTCACAATCAGCTTCTTTAAAGAGATCACCGTTGACTTCTGGTCCTGGAGAAAGGGGAGACGGCCGATATGAGAGAGGCGTGCAATCATCTAACTCTCAAGAACCACCCTGATCTAAGGTACGACCAGATGCATGATCTCACTCGTGTGGAATCTGAAAGAAACAGAACCCAAAAAAGCCCACGCCAAACTCAGGGGAAAAGAGACGGGACCTGTGGCTACCAGATGTGGGGGGGCCGGGAGGGGTCCGAAAGGCCCCAGCTCCCAGTCAGGAGAGAAGCAAGCACGAGGGGCGAGGGCCATGGCTGACACAGCTGTGCGGCACCGAGAGGGTGCTGGGGTCCTCATCACACCAGCTCCCATCTCTTCCCCGTTCCCTTCCCACGGGGCAGGCCTCCCGGACGCGATGGCAGCCAAGCTCACTGTGATGAGCACTGAGTAACGCACGCAGACGCAACCACCACTCCGCGCGCCTCCCCCAGTGACCTGTGTCAGTTTCTGGGAAAAGGGGCGTCTGGTTTAGCAAACTGGTGGATTTATGATCAAGAGAAAGATCTATTTACATTTTATCAAACAGAAAATGATTTCCAAAAAAGAGATGAGAATTTGCATCTGCAGAGGATCCGACATGGCGTCTGCATGAAGAACCCTTCCGGGTTCCTCTGTGAGTCTGTGTGGCAACAATACAAACTGGCACGATTACGGGGCGTAACGTGCAAGAAACACTCCGGTGACAGATTTCTTTAGATGGGATGTCCAAGGCTCCCAAAGGGACCACGAGGGAACAGAAAAATAACGTTTTGGGGGGCAGGGAGGGGGAATGGCATGGATATAGAAAACTGCAAAGGTATCTGACAAATCCCTCAGAGGAAGCTGTCCCGAGCAAATTCATTTTGGGAGGGAGGAGGGCAGCGATCCACGCCCAGACTTACTACCCGTTCCGGCTGCTCTGAACCCCATCAAACAGGAGCGGCCAACAGTTCAGCTTACCAATGACGCAAAGACGTATTTCTGGTCTTTTTCTTGAAGGAAAACTAAAATGTCGGTAAGGAGAACTGCTTGAGCCTCTGTAAAATGGAGAGAGAAAGAACAAGGAGTTCTTAGCGGCCAAGTGCGGTCAGAGCGCCCCTCTTAGGGGACAGTTCAGCAACCCACCCCACAGAGCAAGCCACTCGGGACCACACAGTACACTCCGCTCCTCCAAGGTGACCGATTTAAGTTTCTGTGGGAGCCATATCTGGTCATTAGATTTTCAGAGGCAGTTTGAAATGGCCGCTATCACCAAAGCCGTACCTTGAGAAAGCTTGAGTACTCAGTTCTGGAAAGATCTACCCATAAGGCAAGACTTTAAGAATAAAATACTCCCAAGATGCCTAGGCGGCTCAGTTGGTTAAGCGTCTGACTTCAGCTCAGGTCATGATCTCGTGGTTCACGAGTCTGAGCCCTGAATCGGGCTCTTTGCGGACGGCTCGGAGCCTGGAGCCTGCTTCTGATTCTGTCTCCTTCTTTCTCAGCCCCTCCCCCATGCATACTCTGTCTCTTTTTCTCAAAAATAAATAAAACATAAAAAAAATACTCCCAGAATAAAGCTGGGAAGGACTTTAACAGATGTCAAACAGCACCACGTTCCACGGAATCCTCGGGTGGTAACAGTCCTCGACTTTTGATTATAATAATGGGACAGGCGAGGGACAGCAGACCAGAGCCACCAACAGCTGATGGAGACAAATACCTCAGTCTAATGAAAGGTGGGCTCCCCCTGGCCCCCCAGGAGAACAGAAGGGCTCCACGAGCCCCTCTGGTTTCACAGGTACACGTGAACACAGCAGCTCCCCGAACCTGCCCAATGTCTCCTAGCCAACCTCAGCCTCTCCCTAGGACACAGCCAGCTCTTCCTCTCAACTAAGACAAAGGTCTTATACTCCACTTGGATCTAGTAACCTGAAGAATGCCACAAACTCTTGATCTGTGTCAGAGTTCGAATTTTCTATTCCTCCCGTGAGGACAAAGTCTGGCATCTCTGAAGATGAGCCATCTACTACTCTTTCCTCTGGAAGGGGGCCTATGATTCCTTGAGAAAAGAATGGGGTGGACTTCGGCAGCCCCCTCGCAGGTGGTCAGGTCCCTTCCGGCCTTTTCTACCACCTGCCACAACCGGAAGCCCCTCCCCGTGTAATTCACTACTAAGCTATAAGAAAACAGAAGCAAGGATGTCTCATTCCTGGGGAGGTACAGTTCTTCAGCTGAGACCACAGGAATTTCCTATGGACTACTATTAGTTCTGACATGCTCTTAAAGTTTACTTTAAAATAATTCAGGTGTCTGCCAAAACAAAAATTCCAAAACTCCCCCTCCGCCTCCCACAATATGGGGCCACCTGGGGCATGCACGCCCTCAGGGCCACCGGGAACAGGTACCAGCAGGGCCACCCTGCCTTGCTGTTTAAAATCTTTTCCTTCCTTTGCTCTAGCTGCATCGTTTCTTGTCATCCTCCTGGAGTTTACGATCTCATGAGCAATCTCGGCCTGTCCTTTCTGACAGAAAGTTAGGAACGATCCGACGGTGGCTGCTCCCGTGCGATGTGTGGACGCGGCTCCCAGGACAAATCAGCTGGTGGAGTGCTAACAAAAGTATCTGCCTCTTGCTTGCTCTTGTCTGGTACCTGCACAGACTCAGACAAAAAGCAAGCCTTACCTTTCAATCTTCCTGCCGCGTTCTTCAGAAACACATTCCCGTCCCGCACAAGCTTCTTCCGCTTCAAATCCTCCTTGGCAAACATCTGGCCGCTCTTCATCCTCATGATCGACTTGCTATCTGTCTTCGTGTAAATCTCATTGAGACGCACTTTCTTCTCGTAACTTGCCACTTTGCTGTCTACGGCTCCAATCACATCCTTCACCAGGCTCAGGGACTGAGCGAGATCTTCCTGCTCCACCTCGTTGTCTTAGAAGGGAGAAATAATCCTGTTTTTAATGGATCCTTGCAGGCAAGGTAGCCAGAGGGGGAAGCCTACCTCCTCGCTCCACACCGTCGTTTCCCCAGCGTCATGGGGACATGCTACCAGAGCAAAGCCAACACACCAGAAGTCGCGTGCCTCTCCCTGTCATAAGGTTCGTTCTAAGTTACAGGTTTTCAAGGACCCAGACAACACACAATGACATGCCATGTCCTAAAGTAGGAGGGGGAGAGGGGGGAACAGTATTTTAACTCTGTCTCTGTTCCACCTCATTTGCAACATAACTGCCTCAGAGCAGCATTAGTGGAAAGAGAGACCAGTGAGTCCCGCATAAGTGAGAAATAGCAGCGGGTCCAGCACTTAGGGAGAGAGCTGGTGGGGGTCAGCACCCCGTCCAGGGCTCAGGGAGAAGGTTTCCGGTCTCTGAATCTGGAGGGAATCAGTAAGCAGTTCCTTCCTTCCTGCTACCCATACATCCTAAGTCTGGTGACCCAGCATTTCCAGTTTTCACTTAAGAAAAGGGTTTTTAAGGTAAAACACAGGATCCTGTTTGGACCTGTGAGAACGTGCAGGAGTTCTTCACTGGGGCCTCTGGATCCACTGGACATAGGAAATAGCAGGCAGGCCTCACACAGGACTGGGTGAGAGGGGCTCAGTTAACAGTGTGCCGGCCTTACACACGACTGGGTAAGAGGGGCTCAGTTAACAGCGCAATGGCCTCACACGGGACTGGGTGAGGAGAGGAGCTCGGTAAACAGCACGCCAGCCTCGCACATGACTGCCTGAGGAGAGGGGCTCAGTTAACAGTGCACCAGCCTCGCACAGGACTGGATGAGGAGAGGGGCTCAGTAAATAGCACACTGGCCTCGCACAGGACTGGGTGAGGAGAGGGGCTCAGTTAACAGCACGCTGGCCTTGCAGAGGACTGGCTGAGGAGTGGCTCAGTTAACAGCGCACCGGCCTTGCACAGGACTGGGTGAGGAGAGGGTGGACGGACTCACCTTTGGTACACTGCAGGATCCTCTGGAACAACACTGGGTATTTGGTGATCCGCTGCGTCACCAGCAGTATGCACTCCGGGATTCCCAGCCTCCTCACGACAGAGCTGCTCATCTTCTTCTGCAAAGGACAAAGCGGGTCGTCAGGAGCGTCTCGAGGGGGCTGCGGCTCAACGGACAGTGACCCAGAGCCGCGCACAAGGATGGGGGTTTTCCACGTTTCACACCGATACCTTCACAAAGGCCTGAAACCGCTTATCCTTGGTGTAAAGGTCTTTAAAGTAGTTTACAGACTGGTTGTGCTGCCCACAAAACTTGCCGTATGTCTTCTTTAAGCGCTCGGCGTTCTCCCCCGAAAACTGTAGAGAAAAGAGAAGTCAGGGTGCTGAAATTTTACCACCACTTTCTACAGAGTTCCTGGTCTCTTTGTTCCACCCAAGGGTGGCTCCCCAAGAATTCCCTCAGAAGATGAAAATGGTGCTGCAGCTTTGGGAAACAGCCTGGCAGCTCCTCAAGAAGACGCTGAGCGGAGTTACTTCCTGACCTGGCAATTCCACTCCTGGAAGGAAGGCTTACTCCATACAAGAGCTTGGATAGGAAAGTTCACGGCCGCCATACCCACAAGTGCCCCCAAGTGGAAATCAGCAAATGCCCATCAAAGGATAATCAAAGGTGGTATATACATGCATGAACGATTATTATATAGTCACGAGAAAGAATGAAATCAATGGATACATGCTGCAATACTGATGAACCTTGAAGGCATTATTCTAAATGAAAAAAGCCAGTCACAAAGGACTACATACTATCTTACGTCATTTACAAAGAATGTCCAGATTAGGTGACTCCACAGAGACAGAAAGCAGATCAGTTGATGCCCAGGGCGCTGGGGTGGTGGTGGTGGGGGGGGGTGTGTGTGTGTGTGTCAGAAAAATGTTCTAAAACTCAGTGTGGTGATGGATGTACAACTCCATTAATACATGAAAACCCACTGAACTGTACACGTTAAAAGGGGGCATTAAATGGCATATGGATTTATTTCAATAAAGCCATTATATATATTTAAAAAAAACAAGGGCGCCTGGGTGGCTCAGTCAGTTGAGCGTCCGACTTTGGCTCAGGTCATGATCTCACAGTTCATAAGTTTGAGCCCCGCGTCGGGCTCTGTGCTGACAGCTCGGAGCCTGGAGCCTGCTTTGGATTGTGTCCCCCTCTCTCTGCCCCTCCCCTGCTCATGCTCTGTCACCATCTCTCAAAAATAAATATAAGGGGCGCCTGGGTGGCTTAGTCGGTTAAGCGTCCGACTTTCGCTTAGGTCATGATCTCGTGGTTCGTGGGTTCGAGCCCCGCGTCGGGCTCTGTGCTGACTGCCAGCTCAGAGCCTGGAGCCTGTTTCAGTCTGTGACTCCCTCTCTCGCTGACCCTCCCCTGCTCACGCTGTCTCTCTCTACTAGAAATAAATAAAACATAAAAAAAAATAAAAAATAAAAAATGTTAAAAACAACCACCACAGAAATGTCTATGTAGCACGCACATAAGTAATGCACCATGTGTTCTACTTTCTGTTTGTCATAAACACAATAGTAAAACAAGGGGACCCACTAGATGTTCTCTGTGAGAGTCTTAAAAATTTCAAGGTGATGATTCAGAAGGCCATCAGGAGCAGCTAGTATCACCCAGGGACCTGCTTATCTCAGCTACCTCAGGCCCGCAGGCCTAACCATTCTCATGGCCCTTTAATCCGTCCCAAGTGTGTGCAATCTCACCAGCTCATTGGAAAGTATGTTCACTCTGGGGTAAACCCATGTTTGTGTGTGTGGTCCCCACGATGCACACTAAGCATCGATTTCCAACTGCAGTAAAAATCCGTGAAGGCAACACAAATGGATTCTTATCCAAAAACTTGAAAAAAGGTTCAGGGAAGCTGGCTTTTCCTCTTCCCTTTACAGAAGGGGAGCTGAGGCAGAGAGATTTTAGGGGGTCTGCTCCCACCGTGATACAAGTGGTCTGAAAGGGTGATTCTCAATTTTTTTAATGTTTATTTATGAGAGAGAGAGAGAGAGAGAGAATGGGGGAGGGGCAGAATCTGAAGCATGCTCCAGGCTCTGAGCTGTCAGCACAGAGCCCGACGCGGGGCTCGAAGTCACGAACCCTGAAACGGTGATTCTACAACTGGCGCATAGAACACACAAGTGGATGCTGGGAGGAGGGGGGTGCCACAGATCCTACTGGAAGACGTGCTCAATACAATGAGCTGCAGACAGCACAAGTCAAGGTTGGGTGAGGTACCTGTGTGGGTCTGAGGGCAGAGAATTAAAAGATGTGGAGACTGGTGGAAGGGGATGTTGGGGAAGACAGGCCCTCACTGGCAGAGCTGGCCGCTCGCACTCCGCAGATAGCGCGTCACAGCACGTACCACGCTGCGCGTGTGTCTGCTCTGCACCGAGCCCATTTTCACCTGAGAACTGGGTCTCCCGAGGCAGGGGTCTAAGCTGAATCTGCCTCTGTGGCTGCACCTGGTGCCGAGCAGATGCCCCGTGAATACACGAGAAACGAATGAGTGAACGCATCGCCGAATTGGCGAGCAAGGGCTCTGGCGCACGAATATAAGGAAAGGACACCTTCCAATGCCCAGGTCCATGTCCCAGCAGTGATGCCTCTGCGTCCACACTGGGGCACAGACCTGCTGGCCAAGAAGAGCAAGGTCTTGTGCCCTTCTGCCTGCGAAGGTCAAACTAGCAACAGCTCCGCCCCCCCCCCCCTTCAGTGTTTTAAAAAGAAACATTAAAAGTGATCCATGACAAACATATCTCAAAGTATCAAAATAACTTTCTGGCCCAACTGTTTTTTTGGAGCAGGATGGAAACCATACCACACTCTGATGAAAATATCAGCAAGGTCTATTTTATGAACTCTTCTACAGAAAGTTTTTCATTCAGGTGGTTTTCAGATAAAGGAGTTTTGTTTTTGTTTTGTTTTTGTTTTGTTTTGTTTTGTTTTGTTTTTTTAATGCTTATTTATGTTTGAAGGAGAAACGAACGAGGAAGAGGCAGAGAGAGGCTCGAACTCATGAGATCGTGACCTGAGCTGAAGTCAGACACTCAATCACTTGGGCCACCCAGGCGACCCCTAAAGGAGTTCTTTTTGATTTCAGGCACAGGAGAAGTTGAGACTTTCAACAAATGGCTTTTGATTTCGTAAACTACACTGTTTCTGATGATGGTATGGATACTGAGGAGGCAACACGGCTTTAACTGAGTACCTACCACATATCCTTCGGACTTCACGTATACACTTAATTCTCATTTTTTTAATGTTTACATTTTTTTCTTTTTTAATGTTTGTTTATTTTTGAGAGAGAGACAGAGCGTGAGCGGGTGAGGGGCAGAGAGAGGGAGACACAAAATCCAAAGCAGGCTCCAGGCTCTGAGCTGTCAGCACAGAGCCCAATGTGGGACTCAAACTCAGAAACTGTGAGATCGTGACCTGAGCCGAAGTCCGACGCTTAACCAACTGAGCCACCCAGGAGCCCATGGATACATTTAATTAAAAAAAAACAAAAAACAAAAAACCAGCATCAGGAGAGAAAATAGGTCCTCGTTTATGGAACAGGAAACTGCGGCTCAGGGAGACAGAATAATTTGCCTGAGCTTACAAAGGTAGCAGGTACAGCCAGAATGTAAATAGAAGCCTCCTGAACCCCAAAGCTTCGCTTTTTCCCCCACTGTGTGGAAAGACCCTTCCCGTGGCTCACCTGATTTACAAGCACATCCCCCATCCTCTTGATGAGAAAGTTCCTCTCACTTTTATCCACCAGCGAGTCCTTCTTCCGCTCCAGGATCCTCTGGAAGAACTGGCTGTGGATACTGATCAGCTCGTCCAAGCAGGGGAAGAGCTTCTCCACTGTCTGCTGCTCGAAGAGCAGCTCTGTCATCATGCCCCGGCTGTACACGTCGCTCATGATCTTGAGCGTGCGGACGTGGTGCAACTCCGTTTGCATCAGCTCTGAGGGAGGACAGAGTGTGACGGTCAGGAACAGTCTTTTAAAGGGTTTTCCTTCAAAGGTCAGCTGCTGCTTTCAGAAGCCACTTTAGTCTGAAGGCTAGTTAGAGCCCAACTGCCACTTAAAACTGGGTCAACAGCTATCTTGCCCGTAAAGGGTTTCCCTCTTACTCCCCCATACTTTACATGGCCCAACACTCTTCCGCCAGCATACTGGGCTCCATCACTCTGCAAGGGTGCTTTCCCAAGTGGTCTCTCTTGGATTCAAAGCCTTTCATAATTGTGGGGTCCCATTTTCTAGAATACTCGTGCTTATGGTTTCTAGGGTAGCTAAGGATTCACACTGAATTGTCACAAAAGATCTCTGTCTAGGGCCGCTGCACAAATAAGCATTCGTGTTAAACAAAATGTTCAATAAAATTAAAGGAAATAATTTTAAAGAGAAAGAGAAGGACAGAAGTAAAACCCTGTCTCTAGACCCCAACGTTTTTAAAGAATGACTCTGACATGCTAAGTACTTGAGAACTGGCTTCCCACAGTCCAGTGAGTCACCGGCTAAACAGTGCTGCACAAGGTGAACCAAGTATTAGCAGAGTGAATGGCGAGTCTCACCGTAAATCACTTCTTGCCGTTTGACCACATCTTTCTTTTGCTGTTTCAGAAACTTGCTGTCCACTATTTGACTCCAGGACTCGGCTTCTAGCTGTCTGGATTCCATCTCAAAGTCGCCCATCAGCTGTCCTTCATTCATGTCTGTACCTACTCCTCAAAGTATCAAAAGATCAGTATCAGAATCTTGGATCTGGGAGCTCTAGAAAGCTGGGCCTCCCTGGGGTGGTAACTTTGTAAGACACAAGCCCTGCATTAACACAGAGGGTATTTACACAACGCATAGTCCAGGGCTAGAAAGGAATCATTTTCTGTCTGGGACTGAGACACTCTACATTCAAGATTCTGGCTAAGTGTGATAAATATCCCATGTATCAAATGTGACTGAGACACGATTCCCACGTGAGGCAGGAACTGGAAGGGACCTGGTAACTTCACTTAAGAGAGTAGGCTTATAACCTGCCAAGAGATCTACAACTGACCGAAAGTTAGTTGATGAAAGTCTGGAGGAAGAAAAAGTCTTGATACTAGAGTATGACCACATTAAATCAATGACATCCCTCCCTCAAATGGGCAACTATCTAACAACTGGATACATCTGAATATCAATTTATTATAAAGCATGCAAGGAAGAGGCAGGTAACTATTATTCCATTAACACTTATATTCAGGGAGCAGCACACGGTCCCCACAGATGCGTGAGACACAGGCCACAATGTCCTCTTACCCTCATCGGTAAGTGATTCTGTTGACTCGTTGACCTTGCTGATTTTATTTAGTGAGTCCGTCGAATGAGACAGGAACTTCCAGGTATTTGATATGTTCTCATCATTGCCAACGCTGGGGACAAAAAGCAGCACACACTGTCAAACACATTTTCATAAGCCATGGTCTGCCTTCTTAAAGGAGTACCTGAACGACTCTACAATGACAGCTGGGGCAAGCACCACAATGATCAGAAGACAAATTACTTATGTCGGGTACCCAGCCACATGCAACACTATTCATAAAGGTCAGAAGCACTTAACATCATTGCAAACTTGAACTTCTGAGCCTTTTTTTTTTTTTTTTTTAAACAAGAGGTAGCAGGGAGAACGCTCTTCCCTTAAACTCTATATACATTACATAAGAAATTTCTCCACCTGAAACTCATTGTATAACCACTACCCTTTTTATCCCTGTTCCTTAAATAATCACAGACCAAGCACTTCTAATAAACTGTGTTCTTTGGACTAAATGATTGTGGTAGGACACAAAAGGAAGCCAGAGTCATTTAAAGGTTTACATTTTACTTTAAGAATAACTTTTTAAACTCATAATGCAAATACATTTTGATGCTGTAACAACTCTGAAAGGAAGGCCTTTGACGAACAATGCTACAAAAACAAAACAAAATAAAAACACTTGAAACATGCTTTTTTAACATGGAAACACTAGCCAGCAGAGTTTAGGAAACAGAAACAAAAGAAGATTTGCATCCTGTAGTTAAGAATTTTGCTCTAGCCTAGGTTAAGAGAGATGCAAGAGATGTTCCGAGTCCTACGTTTGAGATTATTTCTTTACTTGATGGGAAAGCAGGAGTCTTATCATCCGAAGCAGCCAATAACATAATCATCAGTCCTGCGCTAACCCAGCGACGACCGGGGCCTGCATGGTCGGAGGCCATAGCAACCTTTGCAGGGACTACAAAAGGAACTTAGTGCAAAAGAGTGAGTGGGGACCTAACAGTCATAACTGGCCCATTATTCAGTCCCATGGAACTGACTTAAGAGTCAAGATGCAAGGACAGAAAAGAGATTTAAAGAGAAGCAAAAACATCAAGTTCATCTGACCAAGAGAAAAGTGTAATATGTGAAAATTTAAGTGGTTACAAGAGAAAATTCAGTAAGAAGTCATACCCCCCCGCCTCCATTTCCACTTTTTATTTTGATCTAAAAACCATCCCTTGACAACCTGGGTTCCTTAAAAGGGAGGCCGACCGTGCACAAAGCATCAGACAACCGGGCTGACAGGGGACCCTTGTTACAAGATGGCGGTCAGGACGCCGCATCAAAATGTCATCCCCACCCTCTTCATCCGTATACTCGGTTGTGCACCAAGTCATTGTTTCACACTACTTTTTCCTAATGAGAATCTTTTTGTCAAATGATAGGATTACTACGCTCTTGTCCCCTAGATGTCAACCGTGCTATGTTTAACCCCCACTTACCCAGCAATGTTCTGTATGGAGACACTTTTGGAGAGCGAGACACTCTGCTGGGACCGTCTACTGGCAAACATGGGAACGGCAGTGCTCTCATCCACCAGGAGGACTGCGGATCGGGGGCGCTCCTTGGGCTGGGAGGCTGTGAAGGAAGGGAGGGCACAGACTGAAGCACACGTTTCTCAGCTCACCAGGACGGCCTCCTCTGACGAATGCCAAATAGAAGCCAACGTCTCCAGAACAGATCTGCGCTGGAGTGTAAATGCATACAGAAACTATGAGGATAGTCGGGCAATACCTAGTGAAACTGCAAATGCCTATACCCCTCGATCCTAATTCTATTTCAGGGCACCTCACTCTGCAAGAGACATGTGTGATGCTTGAAATGACATATGTCCAAAGTTATTCAATGCAACACTAGTGATAAAAGCAAAATACCAGAAAAGACAAAAATGAGTACCAAGAGAAGATCAATTATAAATGATGGCACATCATATACTGGAATATGATGGCATCTCCATGAGCCAATATAGAGCTTCAAGATAATATCGCAATGGGGGAAAAATCAAGGCGTAAAACAGTTACAAAATAGACTCTTATGTTTGAAAAAAAACAAAAAAAAAAGAAAAATTGGGGCACCTGGGTGGCTCAGTCGGTTAAGTGTCCGACATCAGCTCAGGTCATGATCTCACGGTTCATGGGTTCAAGCCCCACATTGGGCTCTGTCTGGCAGCTCAGAGCCTGGAGCCTACTTCAGATTCTGTGCCTCCTTCTCTTTCTGTTCCTCCCTCACTCTCACTCTGTTTTGGTCTCTCAAAAATGAATAAATGTTAAAAAAAAAAGTTTAAAACATTAAAATTATTAAATAAAGAAAAATTAATAACCCAAATTGGTCTTTGCTTTATTTTAATAAAGAAGCTGAAGAAGATAAATACATAAAACTAAGAAGAGTGGTTACATGTGCATGGGACGGAGGTCAGGCAATAGGGGTAAAGAATTGTGTGATAACAGTGCATTTAAACAGAGAAAGTAATTCAAAGGAAAATAAATTCAAACAAAATTGAATTCAATTCAAAGGAACATAGAATAATTCAAAGGAACATAAAATTGAAAGAATTTTCAAGATACAGGGAACCACAGAGCTGGGTGGCCAGGGGTCCTTTGGGGGTGCCTCGCCTGCAGCTCTGGGGTGCTCGTCAGACGTGCAAACTCCCTGCCTGTCTGCCCTCGGGGCTGGCACCTGGGGGTTCACATTCTTTACGGGCTCCCCAAGTGATTCTTTGGCACCCCTTTTGAGAAAACAGATTTTGACCAATCCCTTTCATTTACAGCAGGGTAAAATGCAACCTATGTTTAACATGGCACAGCTAGGCCCTTCTCATCCTGCACATCCCTCCTGCACGTGAACAGAGGGGAAGCCAGAGCTCTCACTACGCTCAAGTGGACACAGCAGCGTTTGGGTTAACAAGTGATTTCTCCCTGGTAACTGGGCTCCTGCCCCAGACGCGAGCTGCGTTATCTGTGTCCCCAGGAGTGTAAAGAGCTGGAGGAAACTGTGCTGGGGCAGCTGTTATGACTTCACGGTATTTCAGGATGTTTTTGACTTAATCAAAATCAATAAAACCATTAATTTCCAATTCAAATTCTATTTAGAAGAAGGTGATATAATAAAACACCAGAAACATGCTACACTTGCACACACCAGACCCTTCCTGCAGGAAGCACACAAGGATGGAGATGTGGGCCGTGCCCCAACAGAGAAGGGGGTACGCCCAAGTGTTCCAGAGCCGGGGCACAGCCTCGGCGCAGCTGGAGGGACATCGGCGAGCAGATAAAATCTGATGGAGGAACAAACACCGGTTGGTGAAGGGGGGAAGGATGTGGCCAGGCTGGAAGGGGGGGCAGACGCTGACGAGGAGAGCTGGGTGAAGGAAGCAGTGGGAATCATGTAGGAGGAATGTGAAAAGGAGGGAACCGGTAGAAGAGAAAGGAAGAAGATGTATATAAACAATCAGTAGAAAGGGCTGGAGAAGCTGAGTGAGGTCACACTATGCAGAACCCTAAAAGTGAGGAAGAACAACTTTGTTTTTAAAAAAAAAAAAAAAAAGTTTTGTATGTGACCTCTACACCCAATATGGGGCTCAAACTTACAACCCTGAAATCAAGACTTGCACTGGCTGAGCCAGACAGGCACCCCAAGAACAACTTTGTTTTTAAAGGGCAGCATGGGTGGGCGTGGTGAAAATTATAATTTCCACTCAGGTAAGTGACTTACTATCTCTGAGCCTCAGTTTCCTTCTTTGCAGTGATGGTGACAGGAGACAAAGCTAACACTGAAGGAGGCCTACCATTAGGTACTTTATAGGCTGAAACCACCGTCATCCGTTTCAATGACATACGGGGTGGGATGGAGTACATGTCCAAGGTCACAAGGCTATTAAGTGGCAGCACTGGGCTCCGACCCATACGACTCGACTCCACTATCCGCATTTTTACGTCACACACATCAGTGGGGGTGACACAGCAATAAGAATACTTGTGGGGTCGGAGGTAACACACAACCTGGCCTATGACAGGTACACTTTTTAAAAACAAGATGTTATTTTATCTGATGTGAAAGCCAACAGATTTCTGAAGCGAGGGATCATGTCCCGGAAAAAAAGTTAAGGAAGATCAGGCTGGGAAAAGGTGCTGGAATGGGCTAGGTCACTGACGGGAGTGGGGGGTCGGTCTGGTGAATCTTCTCCTACAGCCTTCGTCTCCCTAAAGGGAATTCACGGTCTCCTGGAGGAATTCAGAGCAACCAGGCGTGCGGCAGGGGTTCTCAGGCCAGAGTGTGCACCAGCCTCACCGGAGGACCCACGAGAGCACGGATCGCGGGGCTCCAGCCCTGGAATTTCCCAGGCAGTAGGGCTGGGTGGGGACCAGCAACTCCCTTCTTGCGGATCCAGGAACTACACTTTGAAAAACACTGCCTGCGGGAAGTCCCAACAGGTGTCCGTGGGGCCGATTAAGGCGACACTCAGAACTGCGTCACTTGTGGTGGTAGCTGTAAAGGACTGAGAGTCCTGCTCTGGGGGTCTGATGACGACACCGGGGGGTGGGGGGCAGGTTTGTGAAAGAACACGTGCAGCAGTCTGAGGCAGCTTCTACTTAATAACACACAGACCTCAAGGTGACAGATGGGAAAGAAAGGATGAATAAGCCGTAAGTCCTGTCTAACATAAATCCAACACACAGACCAGTAAGAGACATTTCCAGAGACAGACAGACATGTATCCACGGAGTGGCTGGAAGGACGTGTGTTAAATAACTACAGTGGGTGCTGAGGAGGGAATGGAATGAGGGAGCGGAGGGCGAAGAGGGAGAACATGAAGTAAAACCCAGGTGGAGATGTGCACATGCTGGTGAAGACAGCATGACATAGATGGAACAGTCATTCGCGCAGTTTTCTGTACCACCTCAAGTCCGTGGGAAAAAAGAGAACGATTTACTGAACTTTGCAGTTTATATACTGAGAACCTCGATCACCAAGATCTCATTTTCTTCGTGCAACTGTGAGGCCTGAAACACAAGTGTAAGTGTCAACCCTCGGAAGAGGAATTTCAAGATGCACGGGGTCACCTGCTTAAACATGGACACAGGGCTGCCTTTTAAGCGAACACACACACCCTTCTAGAGCCTTCTAAGATAGCCGATGGCAGAACATTAAGCTTCTGGTCAATGAACCTGCGGCCTTCTCTGACTTAACACAAAACAAATACTCAAATCTTGATTGAGAGGAACAAATGAATGTTACAAAAGTACGTTTAAGTCCTGAACCAGAGAGTGAAAAAGGGCTGGGAGAGAGGAGGGCGGAGTTACTTACGCTTGCTTCTCATGATGACTGTGGGCAGCGAAGACGTGTCATGTGCCTGCATGCTCCCCTTGGGCTGCTGGAAGAAAAGGAAAAGGAAATAATTAAGACGACGAAGGCTGTGTCCACAGCTTCTCTTCTGTCAGACTTCAAGAAGCCCAGGGCAGGGGGAGCGCCGGCCTGGGTCCTGGCCGACGGTCCACAGCGTCCCGCCAGTCACCCCACTGGGCTCTCTTCTGAACCCAGCGAGCGCCGTGGCCCCACAAAGGCTGCTTCTCCTGCCCAGACGCCCTTGGGCCTTCACCATGGGGCATTCTGCTACTCAAGAGCACGCGAGAACCAGCTCCTCAACCACCTCCTCGGTGAAGCCACCATCACCTGCTTTCTCCTCCTCTCCCAAGGAGACTGGCGGTGGCTGGCAGCCCTGAGAATCCTGCACAGGCCTCCACGGGGATGTTCCCTCCTTTGTGGCCACCGCCTGCTCGCCATCTTCCCTATAAGAATGCTGGTTCCCTAGGAGCAGCGTCCGTGCCTTTTTCTATGCCTCCAAGGATAAGCATTAATAAGGTGCTAACTAAGTTGCAGGTGCAGTACTCATTTTAGTTGAGGCTTTTGCTGTAGCATCTGACAGAACCGCTTTGTGTGAGAACTTACAGACTGCACCAATTATCCTGAGGTAAGTCATTAGTGGAAACAGGTTGTTTCCAAATTAAAATTAGAACTCCCTCCTTTTAGGCTGTGTTCCCTTCTAGGGGACATGCTACATTTCCATCATCAGAACCTAGTACATTCCCAATAGCATTAAGTCTGGTCAGAGGTCACAAACTCCATGCCTGTGGGGGTCAGGCAGGCAGCAAATGACAGGGACAAGGTGGGAGGAGAGGGAATCCCATGGAGGACGCGGCAGCCACTCTGGCCCCAGGGGACTAACACTTCCCATCCACGTCCCCAGCATTTAGGGACCCAGACGCCAGATACCATTCTAGATGCTTAGGATCGATCAACACATCAAACGTTCCTGACTTCAGACTGTTCAGCAAGTCTGGTGCTTACATTCTAGTCGCAGGGGTGGCGGAGGGGCGCAGACCATGTAAAATCAGCGTAGTAAGTAATACCAGCTGGTAAACGCAGACACTGAGAAGGTGGTAAGTACTTTGGAGCAAAGGAAAATGAGCAAGGTGAAAATCGGGAATTCCGGGAAAGAGGAAATATCCAGGGTTGTGAGATCTTCCAATTCTTTAAGGAAAAATCAGCAATCCAAATTGAGATGAAATGCGATTTTTAATATATTGCATTAAATAACCCCCCCCCCCCCAAATTATTTCAAGCGCCAAATTTATGTCCATGGGCTGATAAGACCTGGGGTTCCGAAGTCTATAATTTTTACACTAGCTCAGACTAGCAGTAGCCGCACCATCTGGGAACTTGTCGGAAATACGAATTCCTGGCCCCGCCCCAGAACATGCAGCTCTGGGAGTGGGCGCAATAAGTGGTCTTATAAGAAGCCCCTGAGCGGGATAGACACGCACTCAAGGGTGAGGCCACCGCACTAGATAAGCGTCTGGTGACTGGGGTGGCACCCTGAGTGTCCGCGTAGACGGCAGCTGGAGGGCGCCCTTCGGACAGGGAAGAAAAGGACATTTATTTATGGGTGACCGGAATGCCAGAAACCAGAGGGTACTAGGGGGCATGCCGGACACCCACTCTCAAGGGCCACCTGACGAGCAGCACCCATCATTGTTCAGTGCGCATTCCTAGAGCAGGTGCTACCACACGCCCGGCACTCCCTATCCTTGCATCGTGTGCCCAGAGCCAACCACGTTGTGCCCTGTGGACTCAAGTGCTGCCAGGCAGGCTGCGCCAAACCCTAACCACCCTCATCCCCCCAGCTCCCCAGGAGGTCAGGGCCCCTGAATGGCACCCAGGAGGAAGCCAGGTGTGTGACCGTTGGGACAGGCCTGAACCCACGGTTCAGAAGAAAACCACCGTAACAACAACACAGAGACATTCGTATCATGGAGAAATGTGTATTTAACCTGGAGTTCTGAAACCGCAGATTCTTGAGCACGTTAATGAAGAAGAGACTTAGTCACTTTAGAGAAAAACTATAGTTTGGTTATTCTGGTCTCAGTGTAGGTATCAAGTGATTACAATAAACAAAAACCACAACCTGGCCTCTCCTGACCCCAAGGACCAGTCTGGCCAGAAATGTCTTACCTTCATCTTGACCTTCGCACAGGAGGCCAGACTCTCCCTGCAGCCTTTGTGGACGAAAGCACTGCAACCTGAAAAACAAGCAGAGCCCAAGGTCACTTCGAGCAGACAGATCTCCGATCCTGACTTGCTGCGGCCACAGCAGCCCGGGGACTCCAGGAGAAGTCACTCACATGTCAGAATCTGGCTCTAACTGAAACTACAGACTGCGGTCACCTTCCAGAAGGCAGGCATGTGATGTCATGTTGAGGGGGAGAAATGACAGCAGATGTGATTTCTGATTAACGGAAACTAGAAGTCTGGAGCCGCTCAGGCAGGAAGTGCAGAGGCTACCAAAATGAAAAGCAAAAGCATCTGCCGTCGGCATGTAGAGCCTAAGGCACAAAGAAATAGGCCAGCAGAGCCCCTTGCCCGGAGCTGGGGAATCCGTACGGCTGTGTCAAAGGCAGAGTGTGAATCTGAGAGTCCACCTGTTCACGCCCTTCCTTGGGATGTTAATACCATGCACGACCCAGCCCGAGTCTGGCAACGCAGAAGAAAGGTCATCAGAACCACCCCTGGGAAGCCGTGCCTGAGTCAGGAGCAGGTGGGAGAAGGCTTCTGGAAAGACAGGGCAGAGTCCATATCCGCCAAGGACGCGAACCTCAGCCCCCTTGGCTCCAAAGCCTCTGATGTAAAAATCCAAGTCCTCTGTGCCTGAGCAGGTCAGCTCTTACTGCTATGAGGTCATGAAACAGAGCTCTGCCAGGAGGGCCATCTGCGGGGACACCCTGTGACGAGAGCCTGTCCAGGGGATGGCTCCCTGAGAAGAGCAACCAGACACCGCTCACCAGACAATGCTTTACGGGCCGACTCAGGAAGCACAGGCCCTGCCCGTGTGAAACCACTCACTGCGGGCCGAGATGCTTTCCTGTCGCAGACGTGCGGGTCTGGGGACAGTGGACCGATGCCGGGGAGGACAGGGCCCAAGGATGCAGGCCGCCGTAACCCCAGGCCCCAGCAGCCTCTTCCCACAGGCCTTTCCTCAGTGCTGCACCCGCCTGGTTCAGGGGTCTCTTCCATGATGCCAGCAGCCACAGTGCACCGTGAGGCGCTTGTGGTTTTCTCCTCCACGGGGGCTCCTCTCGGGCAGGGACCCTCATCCGCTGCGGAAACTTTACATCTCTCCACCACAGTGGCTGGCTCATGGCACTGATTCAAATGTCTGCTTCAGAACCTACTAGGCCTCTTTTATCTAAACACCAAGCGCCCTGATACAATGCTGATTACAGAATATGAAATACCCCCTTATTAACAGTAAGAGGGGCACAGGAAGAACAGCTTTAAAGCCAGATGTGATTCAGGTCGTGGCTCTGCTCATTAGTCTGATCTCAGGGCCTCAGTTTCCCCATCTAACAAATCAAAGGAAGGTCCACATTTCCCCCCAAGTTCCTTCAGTCTGTTATTCCATAAGACTCTTCAGGTTACATCTCTTGAAGGGGATCATTTTTCAAAGTAAATCCCACAGGACAGTCTGACGTTTCAACTTCTATGTTACCTGAATTACCACTAACGACCACCTCTACCAGCTCCGCCCCATGGGACATTCACTATCTGGTCACATTTCTGATGTTAACAAACCGGAAGACATGATGGCAGCAGGAGGTGAGGCTTTCCTGGGGAAGACTCACATAGGCGTAGGCGTCAACAAGAGGAACAACTAAGAAGGTTTCAACTCCGTGAAAACTGTATTCTTGTCTCTACTGTGTTCCTTCCCCAGGGGCAGACTGCAAGGGGATGATGACCTGCATACCATGCTCCTGGTGTGTGACCATCTCCTTTTAAGTCGCAAAGCTGCCCCAGAAGTCGGCAGCGAGACAGAGGTTATGGACCCCTGAACGGGAAGGCTGGAATTTCTCAGCAACGTCCCGTTCTGGGCATAAGGAGGCCGCCGCAGAAAGAGACCCCTGGGGAATGACTCATTCTAATCAGCAAAAGAAAACACTTTGAGGATGTTTCACTAAAGAACCGGAAACCACGGGCCCTTGTTAATTTGTCCAGTTCTCTGAGACTTGAACATAAGAAGCAATTTTGATAAAGAAGTTGCCGTTTTACCACTGAGAGAAAAAGCAGAATCACAAACAGAAATCCACCTAACTCCTGAGATGCCAATGGGGCTATGCCCTTCTTCCCATCATGCAGTGCAACTCCTATCCCAGGATCTAGACCCCAGGGAAGCTTGGGTGAAGACTTTACACCTCTCTAGCCAATGGTGTTCCAGGAAGGGCCAAAGAGGCAACAGGTAGGCTGGACCATATGTCTTTATTGGTTTGTATTTAAATATCTTTGCCTCTCTCCTTCTAAAAACTCTTCAATTGGCTCCCCGTCCCCTTTAGGATCAAGCTCATATTTCTTGATTTGCCAGGGCCCGTCGCCACGCACTGCTTGGCTGTCCAGCCCCTCACCATGTTTGGCCACGCCCATGAGCCCTGAATGGAAAATGGTGCTTTGCGCTGTGTCCCCTCCCCCAACTGGGCTGGCAGGACTCAGGTCTACGAAGTCCTCGCTGACTCCCCAGGGAAGGAGAGACTCCCCATGTGTGCACTCGGGGTACTCCATGCTCGCCTCCATCATGGTGCTGTCTTGGGCACACTCTTCTACCGATGGAAAGCTCTCTGAGGGGGTCTCACTTTGTGTTTTACAATTTCTATACTCCTATCCCCAGCTGCTGGCCCACAGCAAGAAGGGCAGCACAGCAGTGGAGGTCAAGTCCCGCAGTCCTTTCCCAGGGAGACCGGTGTGTTCACCTACCCGCACGCCAGCCTCAATCAGGGCACCTGGCTCGCAGAGGCTGCGAAGCACGCAGTTCTAGGGCCTTCCAGCTCTTCTATGCAAAGGCTTCAGAGCTCCCCTGGCCATCGTTCCCCAGTCTCTCACAAAACCCTGCTCAGCTGAAGTGTTTCACACACCTCTTCTTCAATACCATGCCTCCTGCCCCAACCAGACCTGTGTCGGAGAGCTTTTCCTTCACTCCATTCTTCTTAAACAAAAGCAAACGGGCAGGGATTAGCATGAGGAAAACTAACAATCCATGTTACCAGGAAAACCACACATTTTGAAAGACAACTAAATGTATCGCCACACACAATGACAGTATCTTCAAAGTGTTGAAGACTCAGTAGCAGAACAAGAAGACAAAGAAGGAAACGTTGTACAGACTGACAATTTACAACACAAAATGGGGCCTGATCTCTCCAGAAATCAGAGAAATGCAAACTAAACCAACAGAGAAATGCCGTTTCATACCCAATCAGGTTGGATCAAATAAAAGCCTGTCAATTCTAGGTGGGAGATGCCAATGTGGGAACTCTCAGTGTCTGCCCGGGTATCTGGAAACCGGCACCTCCATTTTGGAAGAGTCAGTTGGCAACATCTAGTTGACAATGTGCCTGCTTTATAAGTTAGAAATTCTCTTCCTGGTGGACAGCCTGGTGATACATACAGAACCATAGGGATGTCCCTTGTAGCCCTGCTTAGAGAGAAATCAAAACAACCCAAATAACTTAGGGACAGATTTGATAGATTCATAAAACAGAACACCATATAAGAGTTATGAGTCAGCGATCTAGATTAAATCTGTTTTTCAGTATTCTGGGTCCTCCAGATCTAATGTTAAGGAGAATAAAGCAAATTACAGAATGAGATATACTGTATGGGACCATTTATGTAAACTAAAAAGAATTAAATGTTGTTGACATAGAAGATAAAATGATAAAATACAGACTACATATACACTGAATTCATGATAGTGCTTGTCCGTGGGGAGGGAGGAAAAGACACCAGATTAGGCAGGGGAATAAAGGGGGAGAGGAAATTGACTTTCACGGTTTATTTCTTGACAAATCAAAAATAATCTGAAGCAATACAACAAAATGTTACTTTTTCATTTGAGTGGTGAGTCCACTGGTATTGTTAACATTATCGAGGTACGACTTTGCGCTAGTATTTAAAAAACCAAAACCAGGGGCGCCTGGGTGGCTCAGTCATTTAAGTGTCTGACTTCAGCTCAGGTCACAATCTCATAGTTTGTGAGTTCGAGCCCTGTATCGGACTCTGTTCTGACAGCTCAGAGCCTGGAGCTTGCTTCGGATTCTGTGTCTCCCTCTCTCTGCACCGCGCCCCCCCCCCCCCATTATCTCCCTCTTTCTCTTTCCTTCTCTCTCTCAAAAATAAACAAACATTAATAAGAAAAATAAAATAAAAAATAAAAACCTAGTGTTAACACATTTTAATATCCTTCAAAGTTCCTTGAGTTTCCTTGAAAACATTTTCTGATCCTTTAAAGTCATTCACAGTTGTTTGTGCTAAATTAAAAACAATTTTCAATCAGCTCTTACTGTTTTCCATTCCAGTTACAAAACTGCATTTTCTTCTTTGCTTTAATGAAAATCTATAAGGTTTCTGGCATCTCTGGGCAACAGAGGAGGTGGGATTTGCCTGAGAACTTGCTGCTAATTCTGATCTACAAGTGACCAGTCCGCATCCTGGGCCACAGCTTGTTTCCAAAGTGCATCCTGCCTGTTTCCTCTCTCCCTGATAAGCTCCCTCCCCTGAAAGAATAAAGCAAAGGCAAATTTTGAGGGGGTGGTGCCACCACTTTTCAACAGGCTTCAGCAACATTCAACTTCTCAGGCCAGTGTTTTGAGATTTAAAAGACAACTCCAACTGATGAACCGTAAGAGCAGTGATAATAGAATGTATGTCTAAGCCAACAACATTCCCCCCACTTTCTTAGTTAGCTGAGACAGGCCCCCAAACCCATACCCCAGCTGAAATTTTACTGTGCTCTGTAACAGGGTCGCGAGGCTCAGTGATCAGTTAATTCGTGCAGGGATGTCTGCCTAACACACTCAAGTTCCCACTTGAAAAACACTCAGCTTGTTACCAAGTTGTCCTGGACTTAGTTCACAGCCCGTTTTGTGCCATGCGGGGGTGATTTAGGAGCTCTGGCCCACTGACATTTAACAGAGGTTAAAACCTTACTCTCTGTTTTGGAACACAGACAATTACGAAGAACATAAGAGTCGAAGGC